ACACACACACACACACGCACACACACACACAGACATGAAAATCCCTTTCATCCAGAATCTGCGGTTTGCTTTCTTTTATTCCTTAGTATACACAAATACGTGAAAACACACAACACTCAGACATGCAGCCTGATCGAGTGATAATCTCTTATAATGCGCTTCTATTTAAAGCAACAAACAGATGGAGGGTTTATGAGCAAGGCTGGTAAAAGTAAAAGCAAATGATTGCAATAGTTGTACTTTTAATAGGATTACCCACAATCTAAAACATTATTCCCCAAGGAACAAATTGTTCTATAAAATTATGTTACTTAGGAAAGAGACAGTCGCTCTGACATTGCTGAGGACAGTTGTGGAGCGGAGGGGTGTCTCCACTCAGCTCAGCGTCCTGGGGAGGAGAGACAGAGATGTCAGGTACCACGGTCCTGACAGAACAGCTCAGTGGAAAAGGGTAAAAGGAAGAAAGACCAAGGAGTAAAGAAGGTATGAAACCTGTCTGAGCTTGGATTGAATTTATTACCTTCTAATTCTCTACGTTGACAAACAAGTTTCGAGAATCTCCTATAGATTTAAGATAAACACGCAACATGGCTTCCTCCTCTGCCAGTTCAGACCGAGGTCTAGCTCTCGCACAGCGGATCTTGCTTGACAAACAGTGCAATTATAAACAACCCAACACTAATTCATTACCATGATCCCATCTTAAGAGAAACAAAACTTACTATAATTCTATCAATAAGATGAATATACTATAGCGATGGCCGCACAGCGGATCTTGCTTGACAAACAGTGCAATTATAAACAACCCAACACTAATTCATTACCATGATCCCGTCTTAAGAGAAACAAAACTTACTATAATTCTATCAATAAGATGAATATACTATAGCGATGGCCTTTACGTAAATTATAATTAAAGCTAATCTTAATTAAAGTTATTACACCATTCTGGAAGAAAATAAACAACCCAAAGAAAGGGAAACAATGTGGTCAATAACTCACTCCAAAAATATTTTTTGCTTCCAAAGCTCGCATTGAGGGAGACATTCCTGCGCATGATACAAATGGTTCTGACATTAAGAAAAGTAAACAAGTAAGAAAAATAAAGATGGAAAAATTCTGTGGTCAGTTCACAAGTGCTTTTTTATTGTTTGAGGCAGGGTTAAAGCCTTTTATAAAGACAAGGATATATGTGCCGCTAGATTGGATATGACATGAGACTAGTCTAGCTGCCCTTGCACAGAACTCTGGCTGCCCATAATATGCCATGGAGAAAACATGTGTTGATGCTTCTAAACAAAGAATCAGGGTGGGACCTAATGCACGCAGTTTAAAGCATTATCCCAGTGCTGTTTTGTAGATCAAACAGAGAAACTGTTCTCCACTCTGGTTATTAACGGATTTGAGAGATGAAGGCAAAATTCAACATTATCTAATTATAAATGGTTTTGAGGATTTTAATATTAACTTGTCTGAAAAACTGATTAATGAAGGTTGCATAATCTGCAAGTGGGACTCCTGCCAGACTCTACATATGTCATTCAAGGACTTTGCTGGCTCAGTAGGCTAGAGGCTGCATAAACAGAACAGAGCTGTGAAGTGGGTTCCTCCTGGGCAGCTCAGGGATTCTGAGTCCCCACAGACTTTTACAATAGCAACTCCCTAGTTACTTAGTATCTATAACCTGAAGGGACTGTCTTTCAGGCTTTACTGTCATCAAACTGACCTAATACTGGAGACCCAGGACAAGGAACACCTGATCTAACTAGAAAAAACAAAAATAAAAGCTCTAGTGTCAAGAAACACCAGCTTTTTGTACATCTTCTACAGTGATTTTACTGGTACCTCGAAAAGTTAAATAAAATTATAGTCACCCAACTAGCATGATCAGGCTTATTTTCTAGGTTATATTAGTTCTAGAACACAGCCAAGGATGTACAAAGACATAGCACCAGGGCTGGCCAGTTAGCTGACTTGGTTAGAGCACGGTGTTAGTAACACCAAGGTCAAGGCTTTGGATCCCCATTCTGGCCATCCACCGAACAAACAAACAAACAAACAAACAGTAACTAAAAAAATAAAGAGACATAGTACCATTTCACAAGCCATGGATTTAAGTGCTGAGGGGTCCTGAGAAAGATATGAATTTCAAAAGGTTTGCACCTTCTATAAAAACTGTTTGGTCTGGTGGGTGTTTTCACCAACTTGATTTTGTTTTTTAACCTCTTGACCCACCGCTCTATCTTTCATCCCTTCACTACATTTAAATAGCACCCAAAGGATCAAGCCAGCCCCAAGCACAAATATGGCCATAGTCGTAGCTGGAAATGTGTGTGGTTAAAAAATATATAAGTAAATAAGAGTCCCCAGTGCAACCAAACCCTCATGCCGGGGAAGATACTTCACAGTGCGCTGTGTGCAGGGCAAGAAGTGGATTTAGAAATAAACTAAACAAGATCAAGTTCATGTTTTTTGTAGTCAGGGATTTGGGGAAAGCTATTTACTCCAATACAGGGATTGTAACAACATGAAGCTGGCCATAAACATATAACCCGGCCGAGAAGTTGCACCTTCAGTTCTCTGACAAACTGCAAACCAAAATGCATCTCCTGTGATAAAGATGATGCTAAAGGATGGCAGCGGGGGGCAGGGGGCACTATGCATGTGCAAAATATAAGAGGTGAAGACTTAGGGGAAATAAAGCAGAGTGGGCTTCCTATACACTGTGACTATTTCATGAAAAATAAATCCACAGCACAGTGAGATGACAGGGATCTCGACTCAATATGCAAGCTGAAGACGCAGCCTTTCTCACTTGACTGCAGCCACTGAGCATGCTCAGGGAGGCCCCAGGTGTGACCTCTGCTCCCCTGTGAGCAGTGGAGGGACCAGGCAATCTATCATGGTGTTCATGCTGTCAGCCCTGGTGCTTCACCGCCACCGCCTGTCACCCTGGTGGATGAGACCTGCTTAAGGGCAATCATGTCAATCTCTATGTGACCACTCAGTCTAAGGCAGAAGGATGATCTTGACAGGCCTGGCAAAGTCAGCAGAAGGTACCAAAAGCTGAAGTCATAGCCTTCCCAAAGAGACACAGTGTGGGCCATTGTTTTCTCTTTAGTTTTGTCTTTATTTTTGATTTCCCTTTTTCTTTTATTGTCATGAAGTAGGCTAAGGCACACAGAACTTGGCTTCAGAGCTGGTCATCTCGGATAAACCTGTTGCCCTCTGAGTTTTTCCCGTAGTAAACATAGCGGCACTTCCCCAGGACACCTGCAAATAAAAAGAAACACATCATTACTGGTGGCACAATTAGGATAGCAGGGAAACACAGGTGCTGCAGAACAGACAGGCGATGCCAATCTCAGATGCAATGGGTGGCAGAAAGTGGATTAAGCCCCAGGAAAGAAGGACCCTACTACTGGTGGCACAATTAGGATAGCAGGGAAACACAGGTGCTGCAGAACAGACAGGCGGTGCCAATCTCAGATGCAATGGGTGGCAGAAAGTGGATTAAGCCCCAGGAAAGAAGGACCCTACCTTCTTGTCCTCAAGAGTTGACACTCAAATAAAATGTCATGACCAAGTACAGATTTCTAGGAATAACATGTTTTCTGCATGGTTTCTCTTCGACATTTTAGGGATTTTTTAATTTGGCCAATTACTCTCCAAAATATAGCATAACCCTCTCCTCTCTCTTGGTTCCCTTAGTAGAGTTTCTAAAAATGGAAAATTAAGATTTTAAGGATGGACCCAGCCCAACCAAAAAATGTAGGATAATCTTCCCATTTTGAAGCCCTCTATCATGAATCAATATTATTAACTTCCAGAGAGAATCTTCCAAATCCTAAGAGGCATGAAGCACATAAGGAATGATTAAGGAAGAGAGGTGACGTTGACAAAATACCATATGGAAAGTAAAAGAAGACTCTGACGTTAAATGGCCTCTTCTTACATTAAAAGTGACAGTTAAAATCGGCTGAAATTTCTGAGCTCGACCCATCCACAACGGCTTAAGTCAAGCAAGCGTTGTCTCTGTTGAGCCTCTTATCCGAGCTCACTGATGGGAATCTACTATCACCCAATAGGTGACTTTTGTGTTCAAAAATAAATAAATAAATAACATTAACAACAACAACAAACAACCAACAAACAGAAAATAGCACAGTCTCATGTGTGGCCATAGGACTTCATTTATCATGAAGGTTATTTGTAAAATACTAGCCTCTGCTCATGCATTAAATGAGGAAGCCTTGTGTTTCTCTCTCCTCGGTTCTCCCCACGCCCCTCCTTCTCCCGCTATGGCAGCTGCCATAAACTGTGAAAATTACAGAGGAAACAGTTTACTTGCAAAGAACATTCTGACAGAGAGGCGCTCTGAGGCTGGAATTTGGGAACCCGCTGGTTGTGACTCAGTAGGCGATGGTTTCCAAGCACATCTGCAATGGATTCCCTTGTTTTTATCTCCTCAAACTACAACATCTTGGAACTGGAGGGGGAACAACACATTTAATGGCATATGTAGTGTTTTTAATTAAAATATCTGGCTTTGACCATAATAAGTGAGGCAGGCTTGCCAGGCTTCAGGCTGACGTGCAGCTGTCTGTGCAGAATTTCTTTTCGGGGGTCTTGAAAATTGACAGTGTGCCTTCTCCTGGGAAATCCTCTTCTGCCAAATGAGACTCCTAATTTTTCTTAAGTAGCCAGCTTTTCCATCACTATAAGCTCTTAACACTATAATTATGAAAAAAAATGTACTGGGAAGAATCTGTTTTAAAGAGGCCCTTTATCTTTTCAATGTTTTCCCCCTCTGGAATGGATGTACTAATTATGCAGGTTAAGTTAGGACCTTGGGGCTTCCTAAGGGTGTGGGCACCAGCCTCTTTTCTTGGATGCAAGGCTGTGATGGCAGGAATGTTACCAGAGACTTCACAGGGGGGAAAGCCCTGAATGTCCAGGGAAGGAAGTTCTTGCTCACCCATGCACCTGAGTCCAGCACAGCTTCCTGGATGCCCAGATCTCCTGCACGGATGCCCAGATGCATTTCAACCATCTATTTAGTAAGGGGCTGTGGGGGAAGACCTGTATTTAAATCTAGCTGTGCCTTTAACCTAAATAGTATGTCTGACCATGGAACCGTTCCCTTCCCTCCCTTGCCCGATTTCCCCATTTGTAAAATGAGGACAAGGGGCCAGATAATCTCAGAGGTCCATTTTAGTTCTGAAATAGATTATTTAATATTTTCCAACATTTCCCTTATGAAGATAAGGATGTCAGGTCCATTGTCGATGGATGTAGGAGGCAAATCCAATAGTCAGTTAATCAGAAATTTGATTTAGAGTAAGTTAGCTCTTGAAACCCGTTCAGCCCATCTCCCCATAATATAGCTGGGACAGAAAGGGAGCTCCCTGGGATGCCAAAATCCCCAAGGAAAGGGTTTCCACTAACTTCCCTGCAACCTGTATTTCATACTCACAGCTGGAAGTGCTGCCCACTACCTAGCCTACACACCAGAACCCTTGACACCAGCCCAAGACTCATAACCCACATGCAACAGAGCCAAAGCCCGACCATCAGAGCAAGTGGCCCCTCATTGATATTTTAGTAGCGGGGGAAAAAGAGTCTGTACAAACACAAAATCGTATTTGATGAGGACGTTATTACAGGTGGGACCAATAAATTCATATTTGCAAAACAGAGAAATTAAAGTATCAATTTTATCAGATTGTTAGTTTGGGTAATCACTTTAGTGATCATCATTTTACGTGCTATTATCATAAATGTTTGTAAGTGTAGCTGTGTAATAACAAACAGATCTCTATCTCATTGTGATGGCTAGGAGCTGACAATTAGAACGATGACAGGCGAGGGACACAGGGTTCCTCACGGAACTCCTGTCCTTTGATCTGAATGAGGAAGGAAGAAACTAGACTCCTCATGGCATCTGCAAAAAGTGAAGACAGTGTTGTGAAGAGGTGGGTGGTCCAGTGACAGAGAGGGGAAGAGTATCAGGGGAGTCCTTCCGGTCCATGGTGGAGGTGGAAGGTTCTAGAACAACGTTTCCGTAAAACACTACACATATCCAGAAACATGTCACCCCTGAAATATTCTCCTTCCTCCCCAATATCTAACACCCAGTGCCTAAAATAGTATTCAGTACAGAGGAGGCATTCAACAAATATTTGTGGAATAAATTAATTAATACCATTAAAATTATTGTGTATATAAAATTTAAACAGAATCCACAAAGTTAGGAATTTCAATTGTTGAACATTCGTACTTTAACCACTGGCGGTGTAAACATTTAACTTCGGGCGTTGGAAACATTTAAAAATATATACGGATTAAATATTGGCCTTACTGAGGAAGGGGGCAGAGTAACAGAAGGCGACAGCCCCAGTTCCTAAATACGAGTGGTGTTTTCATGCGAACACTTTTTTCATGAAAACAAAGCAATCACAGCGTCTGGCTGGAAAGAGCGGATTAAATATTGGCCTTACTGAGGAAGGGGGCAGAGTAACAGAAGGCGACAGCCCCAGTTCCTAAATACGAGTGTTGTTTTCATGCGAACACTTTTTTCATGAAAACAAAGCAATCACAGCGTCTGGCTGGAAAGAGAGAAGTGAAGTGAACGTCACCATCGGCGTTAAGAGCTGTAAACACCATACACTGGGAGGGCACATTCCCCAGAAAGCACATTCCTCGGTCTTTGTTATGTGCAGGCTGTGAGTATGCTGGGAACTGGGAAGGAATAAACACCCGTGTTTATGATCCTGAGAAGTGGCTGGAGCAGTACCGAGGTCAGCCCGTGTGACGTGCTATCAGCTCTGCCATGGATGTCACACGGGATTTCGCAGAGCCTGCACAATGACAGGCTCCTCGCACAACAGCCTCCTTCAGTGCAAGCTACTTAAACACTGAGACAAAATGAAAAGAGTCTGTAGAAGGTCTTAAGGGAAGGGATTGCTTGAGAGCGGTTTTTGTGGAAGGAGGACAGTCTTTCCCCCACGCCAGATGTATATTTTCTTCATCTGAGGGCCCATCTGAGAAGCTTCTGGTTGGAGATGAAACGGGGAAACATTCTCCACCTGACCCAGGGGACAGTAGAGAAGGCAAAGAAGAAAAAGTGAGACTTCCCCAAAGAAGCTGGGTGCAACCTCAGGCCAGTGTCTCAGCACACTATCTGCATCTTGAGTTGGAAAGGGGTGCCTTGCTGCTGCAATGTTTGCAAACCCCCAAAAAATGTCTATTAGGGCTCCTGCTACCTTCACCATGGTGGAGGTGGGGGCCACACTACACACTGTCCTTGCTAAATACTGCAGGGACCACCTCAGTCCATGCCTCCTGCTTCTCCCTTATTATACAAAGCACCCATTTGTATCCTACCCTGCTGCACTGACCCTGATATTGTGGACTGCTGCACATTTGAATTCTGCTGTTTTGACCCCAGGGATGCTTTGAGTTCATGCTTATAAATATAAACATGTAAACGAGCCTGGTGATTTTTCCTTTGAGAAAGCATTAATTATTCACAGCAAATTCCATTTAGCCAATTTAATTCCTTAATCAATTTTTAAATGCAAAGTTAAACCATTTCTATTTTTAACATCTTCATTCCTATTTTATTGAATTTATTTTCAATAGGATCACTTTTCTTCCATGTAATTTTTACATTCAGGTTAAATTCCTCAATCAGCTTTTGCCAAACATCATATTTTACCAATTATATCTTCTAAATCTCTTTTAGAGTCATTTATTTTTACAAAGTCCCATTTTGGGGGGAAAAATTCAGCAGATTTAATTTATAGCAGGAAGACTTGAGTCTTCTATTAAAGTTCAGTCAACTAATTTTATTGCGTGTAGTTTTATTTCACTTTAATTTTATTTCATTTTCGTTATCTCTATCAAGACTAATTCTTCCCCGTGAATTTGTGTGGTTTTCAATACCAACAAGATATAAATCGTGAGTCAGTTTTTCATCCATAATAAATTATATATGTGCGGGTTTAGTCGCTGTGAGTTTTCTTTCAGTTTGATTATTTCTACCAGCAATGTTGATCATAAATTAGAGTTAATGATAGCTTTTATTCATTTCTGAGCACCAAGAACATGTAGAACAAAGAGAAATACTCTAGGTACATGGTAGGATCCAAATCGAGGGGTTAGGATATGCTGCTTTCTACCAAGAACTAGCAAAGAGCACAGTATGGGCCACCTATTCGAGCCTTAGAATGCATCCCTGTCCTGAAAGAAGGCTGACAAAAATGCCAGGC